TCTTTTTACTTTTGCACTATAGTTATTTCTTATACCACGAGGATTCAACAATTTATATATATAAACACAAATTACTTTTTATCCTAATTACATAATATAATTTTTATATTTTTGATGAATGAGATTCAAATATTCAATTGAACCACTTTGCCCTATTAAAAAGATTAACTCTTGCAATAAATGCCCCCTCCCTTTCAGACTTAACCACATGGCCTGACAAAGATTGATTGAGTGATAAGATATTAGAAATGTACACAGGAAATGATGAGAGCCAAACAAACACTAATATGACGGACAAATACTAAATTATTAGGCCGATAAATCAGGGGCGTAGATGACCGAACTCAGTAACCTGGTCCAATTCTTATACTTGTTATAAGGGCAGCTCAGTAAACCAAGCTTCCATTATGCGCGGGGTTCGGAGAATAGCCGGATCACAAGGGTCTATAGTACGCAGTTTTACCTAGCATTTCTGCAAGATGCTGTTTTCACGGCTCAAACCCGTGATCTTAAGAAATCTATTAAATATGTACAAATTCTTAATGTAGAATCTAATAACTTAAAAGAACTAGAATACTGAACTCATAACTTCAAATTCTAGCTCCGCCTATGCCGACAATATATGATCCACTTTTTGTGCTAGTTATATATGATTGTCAGATGCAACTTCTCAGTATAGTATTTTGATCCAATTGTATACGCAAATCAGTAGCTATTTGACAACTACAGCTATGCCAGTTGTATGCCAATTGCCAAATGAATTGGCTCTACTCTATTGGCTTAATTAATAGGTTTGTAGTACCAAGTTTAACAAAAAGAAGAAGAAAAAGAAAAAAGGCAGTGGAGGAAGAATTTAGACGCATATTCCATCAATTTTATACGGACCCAATGGCTTAAAATGGAAGGAAACATTTCCCCCATGTTTTTGGTTGGATATTGTACTTTTCAGTTTTCATGATCAACCACTTCCCCTTTATATTCAAGCTGTTATAATTAGTTCTTTTTTATACCAATAATTATTCATCCTTTTTGAGAAAACAAAATTATTCCTGAAATAAAAGTTTATTTATTAGTTACCTTATATGAAAAGTTGATTTTACGGGAAAAGCCGATAAGGTAGCTCATTTACTCCGATCCAAACAAACCTTGAAGTTCCTTTTCAATGACATATTATAAATCGTAAGAAATGTAGTGCGAAATGCAAAATTTTTAATTATAAGATAAGGTGACTAAATAGTAGAAAACGATATGTTTCATTTCTGAGTCTACTAATCTGAATTCGTATCCGTTAGTTCCACTCAAAGGAGTAAAATACTCGATATCAAGAATCTATTTACTTTTCGTACTAAAATTCACGACCTCAATAGTTAAGGATGAATGAATTCCAACCATTATACATATGGTATTAATATCAACTTTTGTAATTTATATGTGCTTTAACATTTATGCTATAACTTGATGCGTGCAAGCTAAAGTTTATATATATGCTTTAACATTTAGATGCCTACTGCTCAGTATAGTATTTTGATCCAATTGTATAAGTAAATCAGTAGCCATTTGACAACTACAGCTATGCCAATCGCCAAACGAATTGGCTCTACTCTATTGGCGTAGTTAATAAGTTTGTAATAACAAGTTTAACAAAAAGAAGAAGAAAAGAAAAAAGGCAGTGGGGGAAGAATTTAAACGCATATTCCAACAATCGATACGGACCAAATGACTTAAACTAAGCCGTTTGGATAAATATTCTTCACGCTACTACTTTTAGTGTGACCACGAATATATAGTACGGTGAAACACTTCACACATACTTCTCACATCCTGTAAAGAAGGGAATGGGTATACCATCCTTCTTCAAATGTACTCTCTTCCAAAATGACAATAAAATTGTGACTCGTTTATAAAAAGAGATTGTAACAAAAGAAAAAAAATAGTTGTATGAGATAAAACTGGTTGGCGATAGCTAGACTAGACAAATAGTGAGATCATACGTGAAACTGAAGACAAGTAAGATGTGAGTTAACAAAGTAGTTAGCACCGAATACAAGCATGTGATCGGTGCTGGATGAATTCCGAAGACATAGGAACCGATAACAAAGATTTGAAGGAGTGATATCAGATAGCACTCAATGAGTAACCGTTACAGAGAATCTTTTCTCCCTAAATAGAGCTATAAATAAGAGAATTAGTATCCAATGGATGACACGAAACATTCTATACACAAAAGCTAAAATTAGCTCTCATTCTATAACATTATTATTTTACTTTATTCTTAATATTATTATAGATTCTGCTACCGGAGAAGCTAAATTCATAGCCGTGCTTACACTTTATTTGTTTTGTGAATAAAAAGGCACTTTTAAAAAAAAAACTTTGTAAACGAAATTTGCAAAAAGAGTAAAAGTTATTTTTGCGACAAAGAAAACTATTTTTTCAACCACACACAACGGTTTGGTGTATTTCTAAATTTGTAACTTTATTACATCTCCAAAATTCAAATCATAATAATTTGATTCAAATACTTTTCTCACATAATTGTTATCTATAATTGTTTTAATATAATTTAACATTGTAAAATTTCTTACAATCAGCGTTAAACATTAAACTTTCTCTTTTAATTCAAAATCTTTGTCACAACTCACAAGTTATACGAAAACTCAAACTATAAAACTTCTGATGGTCTAAATATGGACGTGTAGAAAATGCACATAAAAATGGAAGGAGACATTTTCCCCATGTTTTTGGTTGGATATTGTACTTTCCAATTTTCATGATCCACCACTTTCCTTTTGTATTCAAGCTGTTATAATTACTTCTTTTTGTTACCAAAGATTTGGGTCCTTTTGCATTTTGTATCTTTAACGCGTGTTCTTCTTTTTAAGGATATAAACTGTTCCTGAAATAAAAGTTTATTTACTTACCTTATAGGAAAAAATAATTTTACGGTAAAAGCCGAAAAACTAGCTCATTTACTCCAATCCAAACAAACCTTGAAGTTCCTTTGCAATGACATATTATAAATGCAAGAATTGTAGTGAGAAATGCAAAATTTAAATTTTCCCAAAATAAGATGAATAAATGGTAGAAAACGATCTGTTTCACTTTCGAGTTAACTCATCTGAATTCGTGTCCGATAGTCCGACTAAAGGAAGTAAAATGATCCATACCAAGAAACTATTAATTTCCCATGCTTAGACTCAAGACCTATAACTAGTCAATGATGGATAAATTTCAACCATTATACAATAATACAAATGATATCAATATTAGCTTCATAATTTAAATATGTGCTTTAATATTCATGCTTTAATTTGATGCGTGCAAACTAATAACGATAATGACATTATTAGTTTTCAAATTAAGGTTTGGTTTATAAATTTTATTAAATTAAGATCCTGGAAAGTGGTTTTCAAAATATTGGAGATTCCTTATAGACTTGACTAAATTNATACTACTTGGAACTACGTGTTTCACATGAATAGAATATTGATTTAATCATAATTTCGTGTGAAAAGGACACTTCAAGCAGTGCAAATTCACACGCGCCTAATTCCCATTGGAGAGGTCCCTGCATATAACCACCAACGGTACAACTCCTCCCTGTCCAAAAAAAAGTGTTTTTAAGTACAAACACTTTTTTCTTGCATCTTGTATGATTGTACTAATTAATTTGATGCAATTTCAAGAATTATTAGACTCATATAATTTGATATTATAATAAGCATAATTTTCAACTTTAAAAAAGACATGTCACAATAAACCTATTAGCCTATTAGGTACGAGTTCAGTCAAACACAGTCACATTTGTTTAAACGTCATATTTATTTTATAATATTTATTAAATATATATAAGTATTTTATTACGAACCTAGTAATTAAGATAAATTAAGAGTTTTGTAACAATTTCAGAACTCATGGGCTTTAAATCTTTGCTCTGACAATAAATTTAAAATTCAAAGTAATAGTGCACCATTAGAGGATGTCATGAAAAACACTTCAATATCTCCAATTATTAGTTTGTCAACTAAACTTTCTCTCCATCAAAATAATGCTCTTCACCAAATACTTTTGTTGAGTTGGGCCAACACAGTAATGAGCAACTTACTCGAGAACCCCATCCACTTAGGATCGTTTGGTAGAAGTGATAAAGAATAATTAATTTAAATATTAAATATAAGATAAATTTATCTCATGTTTGATTGAGATAAAATCGTAATATAACTAATCTCGCGATGAGTTCTTTCATGATTGTAGTATTTTTTTTTTAATCACTATCAGATGGTGAAATAACTAATTTCGAAATAACTAATTTCAAAATAATTAATAATATAATAATATTTTCCCAACCAAACGACCCCATAGAGAGCATAATAATGCTCGTCGAGATAAAGCTCAGAGCAAAAACTTTCCTAGACTTGCAAATAAAACTTATATAAAATATATCAGCAACAACAATAACAATAAATTTAGTGTAATCTCTTAAATGTAGTGTAAGAAAGATAATATGTATATACATTTTGTTCCTATCTTGTGAATGTAAAGATGTTTCTGACAAACTCGCGACTCAAAATTCTCGATCTACTTATTTCAATTTATACGATTCTTTTACTTTTTGGAATAATAAAAGTTCTTGACTCCGTTTGGTTAGAACCTTCACAACTTTGTATTACGAAAATTCATTAAATCATTCAAATTATAAATTCGATATTTTTTTCCCTATCACTAGCATTGATAAGAGTGAGTTGCTATAGTGATGAGCACCCTCCATTTTCAATCAAAAGTTGTGAGTTCGAGTCATACCAAGAATAAGATGGAAAGCTCTTGAAGAATAAGATGGAAAGCTCTTGGAGTGAGGGAACAGAAAATCTATCGGAAACAACCTGTCTACCTCGTTGCAGCATATTAAACAATGATAAAATAAGGACAAAGGAGGCATATTCCTCTCTAATCCAATTTCCCCCCTTCGAAATATAAAATTACGCGGTCTCTCACGATCTCTCCTTTTTACTCCTTTCATTTCTCCCCTCATTCTCTCTCTCTCTCTCTCTCTCTTTCTTCATTCTCGTAGTGTTTCTCTCTCTTCTTCCCCTTCAATGGTGGTTGATCTGAGAGAACACTACTGAAATATACAAAATTTCTACTCTCAAATCTAGGGCATTGCATTGTATTGCCCTAGCACATTTCACTTCTCACGCGCCATTTTAAACAGGCAACAAACACCACACACACACACACACACACACACACATATATTTATATATCTCATACATTTTTGAAAAAAAGAAAAATAAAAATGTTGCCGCTTGATTCGTTCGATGAGTTTTTATTCTCTGCTAGCAGAGCATTGTGTAGTCCCCTCGCGATTTTCATTCAGATCCAGGTATTTATTGTTTTTCGCTGCTTCGTTTTACGTTTTATTAAATTAGCTGCTAGTTTTATTCGCTGCTCCTTTATGCGTTTTAGATTAATTAGCTGTTTTATTTTTGTTCGAAAATTGAGAAATAAATTGCTTATCGAATGTGTTTTGGATTAGGCACGGTTTAGATCTAAGGATTAGACTAAAATTTTGATTTTATTTCATAATTACGTGCCTTAAGATTCATTATATTTTTTTTTTGATGAAAACTTCGGTTGCTAATATGATGCTGAGGAAAAGGCTAAAATTACAAAAGTTTGAATTTTCAATTCGTGTTCAGTTTGGAAGTTCTTTTTTCTATCTTTTTTTTTTTAGTTAGTTTTCCTTCTTATGTCCGTGTTTAGACTTCAGAATTGAGAGCCATTGAAATTTTTCACGTGTAAACTTTGAATATTTCTAGTTCGCGTTAGCAGGATCTGTAAAGCTTCAGAGGTGGACGGGATAATATGCACTGTAGAGCCCGTTTGGGTTAGCTAATGGTAAATAGCTGATAAGCACTTTTAAGTGCTGAACTGATTTTAGAAATAAACAGTATTTGTTTGGATAGTAGTGCTGAAACTGATAATAAGCATTTGATGTATTTGGTAAAATAGTGCTCGTAAGCTATTCTTTTGGTTGATTGACTAAAATACATAGTATCTTATTAAGGAAAAAGATGAACAACAAATATGGAATGGAGAGAAAGCTAGGAGATTCCTTTGGAAAAGGTACTTTGAGAATTACAATATTTATCAAGGTTAACATTAAATTTTTTTGTCAAACTAAAAGTGATTTTGGCTTATAAGCATTTTGGGTGTAGCCAAAAGGTGATAAGCTCATTGTCATTTATGTGCTGCAGAAATTAGTTATCTCATTATCTAATTCCACACATAGGCCCCCCTTGACTATGCGAGAAAACACTTGAATTTGGATTGAAAAAGCAAAATCAGCACCTTTAAGGTTTATTTCTTAACTTTTGACCGGGCACACTGCTACATGTTTGCTAAGTTTAGTTTTCCTTTATCCCTCTCTTTTCATCATTTTTTGAAGGGTAAAGTAAGGCATCAGAATTATTGAGAGGCCACAAGCATATTCTTGTCTATTCTTGGATTTATCTATGTTCATGGAGTTTTGCCAAGATAAAAAGAGTACTTGATTTTTTATATGATGTAGAAGGCAGAACCATCTTGTGTCCGTAAATCAGTCAGGCATTTTAGACTAGTGGATTAGTAGGTGTAAGACATTACATGGCCTAATTCCTGAAAGTGCTCTTTCTAGAATTAGTGACTTGTTGACAAAGTGAATTTCCAGTTTATGTGCACTCTCTATCTGTAAGCTTCAAGTATGAAATTCATGTGGAACACTCCATTTATTTTAAAGTGATGGCCACTAAAGCTCCATTTTGGCCGCTTCAAGCGTTTCATGGTGTGATGCCGGTGATGGTGATTTAAAACCAGTAAATTTTGAGCTTAGTGGAATTTATTCAAGCCCTAATTGGCTAAGGGGTTCAATATTTGTAGCTAATGGAGTCTCTAATCATTGTAAACTTATACTTTTGACAGATTAAGGATGTTAGTCGATGCTAGACGGAGCCGTCACTCTTTTTATCTTATCCAATGCATAGCAGTAGATACAATTTCTCTTATCATTTTTTTGTTAAATTTCTTTCCCTTCTATTCTGAAAGTCTGCATTGGTGCTAGGCAGTTTTGTTAAAGCCCTTTCTATGAATGACCGCAACAAGTTGCTTTTAAAAAAATTCATTTTGCACAGATTAGTGAAAAATTAATGAAAGAATTTGAAAAAATAGCTCATTCGTGTTTATAGCTCAATTTAATAGGACTGATACATGGATAAACCAAGAAAGCAGATACCTACAGTAACATACTGCAGGAGGCAATTATTACAGTGTGAAATTTAACAAATGGAAAAGGGAAATTATTAGGGTGCAGATTGTTGAGTGAAACGGTTTAAATTATGTCAAGTCACGGTGGCTTATACTGTAAAGTGCATGAAAGCAATCTATTGAAGGTTACTATAAAATAAGCTATCTATTTTAAGGTTGTCTTCTATATCGCTTTGTTTGGATGAGAATAAAAAGGTTTGATGTCCCTGAAGACAAACAAAACATATGTATAAAGTTGCAGTTGTCTGTTAATGGGTTCTCAACTTTTTATTTTTATTTTTTTTATATATATTTACTTTTAATGGATTCTCAGCTAATCACTGTTTGGTGATATGTTTAACATAAATAAATCTCTTTCATCTGCTAAACTGCTCAGTGTTCTCTCATTGTGTGATGTAATCATTTGATCCGTAATTGGCATATTAAGATAACTATATTACTCACACTTTTGTACTTTTATGTCTCGTTTCTTTATCTATTTTTTTTTTTTTTGGGGCATTTTATGCGACCTATATCTGCAGGGATGTTTAATCTGCTTAATACTGGCTCTTGGATGGGCTTTAGCTGCTTATGTAAGGTATGAGATCTTATAATCTATTTTGAGTGTTTATGGTGCACACTTTTCTTGCTGATAAGTTATAATTGGCGTAGGTAATGAATGGATTCTGAAATTAGTGATTTTCATGCAGCTTTGGTTTCTTTTTGCAGGGGCAGGGAGATTCGACGCATGAAGGATAGTATGAGATGTGGCAATAGTTTTGCGTTCCTTACAAAGGATATCAATGACCTTGAGCATTCAAATCAGGTCAACTTGCCCCCAGTCTCAGTTGTAATGCCTTTAAAAGGGTTTGGAGAGCACAATCTACACAATTGGAGAAGTCAGGTAAACGATAAGAAACCTTTTGGCTGGGAGTCTTTGAGTTTTCAATTAAGCTGAGTTACTTGACTTCTGTTTATGCTACAATTTCTTTATGGCCTTTTTCCTGCTTGAAAATATTCTCAGGTTGCTGCCTAATACCTTACTTGTTGCTTCTGAGAAGCCCGCATTACAGCATAATGGATAGTCACATGTTAATAGTTTTGTTATTTAGTCTTTTAGTGAGGCGTTCCTACTTTTTGGTATACTTCTTGTATGTGTATATGTTTTGCCCTTTCTTAATGAAAATTTTATACTTCATCAAAAAAAAGTGTCGTGTCTTTTAGCTCTCCGTTTTGTATCTAATTCATATTCATGTTGTTTGGATCTATGACAAAAACTTTGAATTAAGTGCACCATTTTTTCACACACAGTCCAGATAATTTATAGTCTGCTTGGTCTGCTTATGTCCCTTTGTGAATGGCTCAGATCACTTCTCTTTATGGTGGTCCTTTGGAGTTCCTTTTTGTGGTTGAAAGTACCGCTGATCCTGCTTATCATGCTGTGAAGCGATTGCTAGCAGATTTTAAGGTGTGGTATTAGACCTTCTTTTGCATTCAAAAGTTGGTATCTGCTTATATCATTTTATTGCACACTTCTCATGGTATTTGTTTTCTATGTTGAGCAAACGGGAATTTCTAAATTGAAGAGTTAGTATTAGTTATTAGTTTAATGTTTGCCTTTTGATTTGCATTGCATCATCATTGGTTCTATCATCAGTACTCACTTCTTTCCCTTCTCTTATCTTTATTTCCCTTAACCTTTCTGAAAAATCTGTTTAATAGTCACATTTAAGAAATTTGGAAATGGAAAAAATAGAGGCATGAAAGAATTTTTATGTTTGCAAATAAAGTTTAAGATTTGTGAAAAAGGCATACAAAAGAGCACAAAAGCAAATTATTAAAAAGAAAAAAGAAAGGCACAAAGTGAAATTAAAGTGTGAGCTTTTGTAATTTTATCTTAAACATAGAGCCCATGGATGCTAATACATGCCTATACATGCACGATAACGCTGCCTAAGCGATGCATATTTTATGAAACCTCCCTAGAGGTGAGGATTGCCCAAGATCATATAAGGAGATAACAACCCATTTCCTCCACCAACTTGGGAACTTAACCCCCCATGCCCAGGACTGGATATCTGTAGGGCTGACAACATAACATGAGACCCCATATCGGGTAAACCAAAAATAAGAACAGGGTTGGCTCCAATACCATGTAAAGAAAGTGAACCTTGGGCTTAACAATCCATTTCCTCCATCAATGTGGGATGTTTAACAAATCTTATGCCTTACCCAAAAAGAAAGATGTTCACTATTATTTGAAGGATGAAAGTATTTACCTCAATTATATCCTTGATATGGCATTTTCTATGTCATGTAGTTAGAATTTTTATCATTCTGGGTGCCTATTCATGCTCCCATTGCATGTATGTGTTGCACTTCTTAAACTCTTCATTTGTTTTGTGTTCTGCACACAGGATGTTGATGCTAAAGTTATTGTAGCCGGCCTGTCAACAACTTGTAGTCAGAAGATTCACAATCAATTGGTATGTATCATGATTCCTTTTTTTAGTCCGTCTTCTTTATGTTGATGAGAGAAACCAAGGCGTATCTCTTTTAGAATTGCATGGTTACAGGATTTACCATTCTTTACTTTTCCTAGATGGAGCAATTTGTATTATCAGAGTTTAATGTTGTGCTTTTCTTGTTGGTGCATGAGTTAGTAAGAGAGGATACTGTAAAATTATCATTAAGAGAATTTCCTTGAATTTCAGCTTAAATAATTCAAAATATCTCTTAAATTTCTTATGCTTTTTACTGTGAGCATGAAATGTATGAAAACTCTTGAAAAATTGAAAGCATTTAATGGTAGGCATAACAGACTGATGGATGGGAAGGCCACAAAGTGAGTACATGAATTTCTCTTTCTATTTCAACTGTCTCTAGACTTCTAAAGTAAAGAAAGAAGTCATCTGCCCACATGAAATCCATACTATTTCTCTCTGATTCTCCCCCCTCCTCTCTCTCTCTCTCTCTCTCTCTCTCTCTCTCTCTCTCTCTCTCTCCAGTTTCCAAATTACGCTTCTTCAGTTTTTTGTTTGGGGACAAACCAATTTGAACCATTGTCCCTTAGAAGAGTCAGATTGCAGTCAGATCTTGTTTGAGCTTATATAACCCACTCGATGTAACTGATGGGTGTAAGGATTTTGAAGAAGAGGGATTAGACTGGAATGAATGTGGCATCTGTTAATCGAAATGCATTATTTAGGTGGTCGCTGTAAATAGTTTATTTAATGAACTATGCTTCGCTGGTGTTCCTTACCTGAATAATGGTGCTTTTTGCAGGTTGGGGTGGAGAAAATGCATAAAGACACCAAGTATGTCTTATTCCTTGATGATGATGTTAGATTGCACCCTGGATCAATTGGAGCCCTTACTACTGAAATGGAAAAGAATTCAGCGGTAATATCTTCTAAATCCTGAAGCAACTTTATGCTTTGGCACAGTATGCCAGCTCACTAATCAAATGTTCATTTTACCTATAACACTGGAGAAATGTAATATTTTGTCTGTATGCTTGCCAGATCTTTATTCAAACAGGATATCCTCTCGATTTACCATCTGGAACTTTGGGAAGTTACTGCATTTATGAGTATCACATGGTATGTCATTTATGCCCATATCTCTATTTTCATTTGTGCACGTTGTCTGTCAAGTTCCTTTTTGGTTTTTGCTTCTACTTCCAATGCATCATCTCTGCAATGTGGCGGGAGATTTTTGAGTAAGCTTGCCTATCAAATATTGGTCATAGTCATTTGGTTTCACTAATTGAAAGGTGTTGACTCGTACTTTGTGTGTTCTGCTATTGATTTTTAATTTGACATCTTGGTTGAAGTTTTCATATTTCGATAATATTCTTTCATCTTAAATAAAGCTATATTTAAAACTTTATTGCTTACACAAATTTTCGATGATTGCTTTAAATTATGTAATTTGCACTCTTCTTATATTAATGTAAATTGAAATCAGATGGAGTGAGGGACGCACTAGATCTCCTGTTTTAACTGCACACTGAATTGGTACTTTTTGTGAGGCATTTTTTGGTTTTGTTTTTATATCTTACATGGGAAAGGGAATGCACTCCAGCTCTTAAATGCTGATTCCTGGTTGACTTGAATCTTCTCCTTTAACTCTAACAATTTTTAAGCTTCCTATAAGATTTCGGGTGATGTGTCCCCGGCTGATGTGTCTGTGTGTCCTTGGTGTGTCTTTAGTGTAAATCCATTTGCTTTATAAAGGTCCTATATTAACTTTGTTTAACACTTTGCTGACTCTGTTTCGTATTGGTTCATTGTCATTTATTTACAGCCATGTTCCATGGGATTTGCTACTGGTGGAAAAACATTCTTCCTCTGGGGAGGATGCATGATGGTTAGTTGTTACCATTGAATATGTTCCATGTTTCATGAGTATAGCAATGTTCCCTACTTGTCAAGCTTGTTACTTATATATTGCATCTCGTTACAAAATATTCTGTACCTTTTTAATTCCAGATGCATGCAGACGATTTTCGAACCAACCGCCATGGTGTAGTGTCAGCGCTTCGAGATGGTGGCTACTCAGATGACATGACTCTAGCAGCTATAGCTGGTAAAGTTTACCTCCAGTTGCTCACCCCTAAATGTTACTGCACAAGAGTGGGAATGCAGCTGGTGCATAACCCCCTTTGGTGTAGTTGGGAGAGCCAAATTCCAAGGATACAGAGTTTCTAGTTTTTGTCTTATTCTGCAACTATCTACTTTTTACGAATTGACCATACTATGCATCTCTTCACCCACAAACATGCAAAGATCTCCTCCTCCTCTGAACTTTTGTATTTCTCCTCTTTATGTAGTGATATACTTGACAGTGGAAGAAATTTCTGGGGACATGCATAATTTAAGTAGTTGTATGAATTTTTTGTTGCAGTAATTGTTTTGATATGGTATTTTGGGTGATTATATATCTCTCCCGGATATATGCGATAATGACCCTCTTAGCGACTTATCACTGTACTTTGATACCTCTTATTTAGCTTTAGGATGTTCTGGGGACTAATTGTGAGACATAGTACTTTACTTACTTTGTTCTTTGCAAAACCTTGCTTTTGGCGTGGAAGCTTTAGGTTCTTAATATTATGTTTTTGTTATTTTTTCTAGAGGAACACAAGAGGCTTATTACATCACCACCAGTTGCAGTCTTTCCACATCCTCTTGCAAGCGATCTTACCTTCCCTAGGTCTGTGAAAAATAGATCAAACTCTTTGATTTAATATTGAGATAAATTATGATAACTGATTGTTGTTGGCTCACCTTGTACTTTCTTGTGGTTATGTGTAGGTACTGGAATTATTTGAGGAAGCAAACGTTTGTACTGGAGTCATATACAACAAAGGTTAACTGGATCATGAATCGGGCTTTATTTACAACCCACTGCTATCTGTCTTGGGGTTTTGTAACTCCATACTTCATGGCTGGGATTCATGTGGCAGCAGCACTGAGATATTACTTTAAAGGATACTCTCCTGATGATACAGTCTTGACATGTAATGGTGAGCACACTATGGTTGTGTGAATACACCTAGAATGCTTTATGCTAGCCGTTTAGATAACGCATGTTTTTTCTGGAGAACTGTTTCTTGCTGGAAACCTTGTCATGTGCATCGTTTTTTTTTGTCGTGCTGATATTGATTTTGAATCTAGGCATTGTGCAATTCCAAGTAGTTGGGAATTGCAAGATCTTTTTTGGGGTGGGTGATGCTTCTTGAAATGTTAACAACAACAACGACCCAGTGTGTACGCAAATCTTACCCCTACCCCGAGGGGGTAGAGAGGCTGTTTCCGAAAGACCCCCGGCTCAAGAAAACGAGCCTTGGAGTAGAGACCAAAGGGAACAATAACAGCAACATAAAAGCCAGAAAATAGATGAAAACAATAGCGTTAACCTGTAAATAGGCCCGACACTATAAAATGAAAGAGTAGTGAGAACATAACATTAACCACTAGCAGTCTAAGATAAAAATACTATCAGACTAGCCTCACATAGTTATGACCCTACCTACAAACTTAGTATTCGACCTCCACAACTTCCTATCAAGGGCCATGTCCAAATCTGAAGTCGCACCATATGCTGCCTGATCACCTGTCCCCAATACTTCTTAGGCCCCCTACCTCTTCTCAGGCCTTCCAGAGCCAGCCGCTCACACCTCCTCGCTGGTGCATCTGGGCTTCTCCTCTGTACATGCCCGAACCATTTGAACCTCGCTTTCCGCATCTTGTCATCAATGGGAGCCCCCTTCTCCCGTATTATATCGTCATTCCTAATCTTATCCATCCTCGTGTGCCCGCACATCCACCTCAACATACTCATTTCTGCTACTTTCATTTTCTGGATTTGTGAGGTCTTCTTGAAATGTTAAATGTCTCTTAATTTTTCTTGAAAAATCTGATTATGCTACAGTAACTTTTTTTTTTGGGAACTGGTCACATGTTTTCTAGCTATTGCTTATTGGGTTGCATATTTCATCCTCTTTTAAGTTGCATATGTTTTTTGTACTTTGTTAGGGTTGTTACTTGCTGGATGCCTTGCCATATGCACCCTGATTGAGCTCCTTTCCATGTGGAATTTGACAAGAATTGAAGTTCACTTGTGCAATATGTTGTCTCCCGAGGCACCTCAACTATCACTTGCTTCTTATAACTGGTGCCTTGTAAGTCCATTATGACTTTGCCCACAGGCTGAACCAGTTCATTTCCTCTTCCAGCTTTTCTTTTTATGGTCTGATCTTCTTTGACTACAACATTTGTGCTGACCGTATTCTTTCAAACAATTATAAGATTAAAAAGTGGATGCATTTTCACATGAATCAGACAACCATGAGAAGTTAAAATGTTTTTCTTAAGATATTTATTTGATTTTTATATATTGAAAAAAAAGAGGATTCATATAGTCAAGCCCAATTAGTTTGGAATTGAGGAGTAACATGGACCAAGGTGGTTTTACTTTTACCTTTAAAAAAATCATGGACCACGGTGGTTTAAAAAATGATCTAGATTGGGTATGAATTCCCTGTATGGTCCTTTTTTTTTGTAGCTTTTGATCACTTTGATGTTTTGTCGAGCAGGTATTCATTGCAATGCTGGTAGATAATTTCTTATACCCACTGTCTGCGATGCGTTCTCATTTTTCTCAGTCCATCAATTGGTCTGGTATCCGGTATCATTTGAAGGATGGGAAGATATACAAGGTACGCCTTCTTAAGACACCTGATTTCTCAAAGCATTATATTCTTTCATATCATCTGCTTGTCTAGGATACGGAATTTGCTTTATCCCTCTGGTTAATTACTTGAAAGAAAAGGAAAAGAAAAGCTAGATGCAGCAAAGAGAAATTTTTTTCTATTGCGCCAAAAGGAAATAGTCCTTTTTATTTTTATAGGATCAGGAAAAAGAAACTTCCACTTAGTCAATTTTATTTTCTTTTTCTTGAATTATATAACATCCCATATTGGGTGTAATAAGGGTATCTGTAGGGGTTTAAAAGGTCTTGAGTTGGACTATCAACCATTACTTTTAAGGTTTTAGGTTAGGTGCTTGGAATCTTTCACATGGTATTATAATTCATCTTTAGTAAGTTCATTCTCACGCTAGTATGTATTAAAAATTCGTGTGAATTCCAAAATCCTGTTACAAGTGGAGAAGGGTGTTGAGTCATGTAATGTCTCACATTATAATGTCCCCCATGAGGTACCTAAGGGTATCTAGATAGGTTTGACATTATCTTATGTTAGACTACTACACCTATTGCCTGGTTAAGATACTCATCTTTTCACATATTTACTTTTTAGTTTTTATATTTGAAACTTTTTATTTTTATTATTCTATACTTTTATTTTTATTATTAATTTTATTTTTTTACAATATTGGACTGACATGAGTTTAAGTGGAGCGATGTGGACAATGAAGATTCATACAGCCGACCCACTCTTTTCTTGGGATTAAGGCATACTTATTTATGTTATCTAGCTTAGAGAATGCAACTAACCTAGGATTGAGGCATGGTTCATTGATTGATTGATTTTTTGATATTCAGTTGAACTCCCATTGTCTGTTGAGTAGTATCTCATGTTTATGTTGATATTCTAGTGGAGAAAATCAAACCCGTTTCCGGTGTCTGAATTGGTCTATTTGGGTTAAACATATGGAATAATAATAATAATAATAATAATAATAATAATAATAATAATAATAATAATAATAATAATAATAATAATAATAATAATAATAATTGAGGCCATCATCGATCCCTTTTTTGCAGATCGACAGACACAAACATTTGGTTCCTAAAATTACAGATTTGGCAGGAAAAGATTTGCTTGGGAAGAATGGATCAACACCTAAGGTTGCTATTATTAGTTCTTTATCTAGAACTCTAGCTCAGTGGCGCCAACCGAAGAAATATGAAGTTTAGATAAGATCCTAACAGTGGTAAATTATGTGATTCTTTTGCTCCCTTGGTGGTAGTGACCAAGGAATTGCAGGGCCGATTTTTTTTTTTGGATTATTTATCCTTGATTTAAGGGCACTTCATTGGTATAGGTTGTAAGTGTAAGGTTTATTGTTTCTGGCTATTAAATTCATCACTTCATTCTTCACACTCAGGCCTTACCATGCTTGGGCTGGTTTTTGTAATTTGTAATCCGATGTCCATTTCAATGTTAGCTTAACATGTTCCAATGATTGTATTTGGGTGGTTGACCAATTAGATGGCGGCAAGTGTACGATCTTTTTGTTCTGGCTATTACATTCATTTCATTCTTCACATACAGACCTCCCATGCTAGGGCTGGTTTTTGTAATTGTAATTTTATGATCATCTCGAGATTAGCTTAACATGTTTCTTTGACATATTTATATATTTATTTTTGTAAATATGCAAGCCAATCTGAATCAAAGAAACAAGTTCGATTCTGATTCTACCTGCTGCATATAAAAATACGGAAGCTATGCTTCTTGATAATGTTCTGAATAAGATGCCAAAGTTTCTCTAAATGATCTAGAGACTAGAAGTTGGTATTTATGGTCGCGTATGCTGCGTATGCTTCAGATACATAAAACTAAACGAGTTGGTTTTCATTTCCAGTGCACGTTTTCTGGTTAAGCGTTACCTTTCCAATTGGGTTATTTTGCTTGTTGCAAAAAAGAGTTGTTGCGACAGTAAATAACACCTCACGAATGTTAAATTACCAGTGGTACTATTACAGGAAACTTTAGTGGATTATGTTAGTAGAAGCTTGAAAAGAAGATTGTATTTTCAGATTGATCCAGAGAAGAAAGGGCATGAATTTGGCTTGCGTTGGTGGCCGAAATGAATTGCTTGCTTTGACAAGAATATAACCTATCTCAAGCTAAGTTTCCCCAATAAGTGTGTAGGTTGTAAGTTGCCTACCTTATTCTATGGCAAAGCTCATAGTCTTGAACCAAATTGCATTTGCAACAAACCTACCAAATGGGGGCAAATATCAAGGTTTGACCATATCTCAAGTCCGCACTCGACATAGGTGTTGCATCTTATTATAAGAAGATATTTTAATGAATCTGGGATGAGTAGAGCCAGTGTAGCAAACTTATCTTTCCAAGTGCACGACGACAGTTTAAAAATGATTTTTGTCATTTCCTTGTGGATTCTCCATTGCAATGAACTCTGACAAAAGAAAGTTCAACTCTCACTCAGCATGGATTCTTCTTGCAACAACTATTTTGTAAACTTGAAGGGGACTAAGGCATATGAGGGCATGGAAAATTGGAAATAACAATTAATGAATGCACCAACGGACATGACAAAATTGGGTTTCAAATCCATGCAAAGCTGATTAACAATACAAGACCACAGTACAAGCATAATTAGGGAAAGTCAGCACTGGAGATTGAGCATCGGAAGATGGAAACAGGTGACCATAGACAAAAGTGACGCCTCGTTTTGAATAGGCAAGCCCCAAGAATTGTAATAGGATAAACGTTTTCCTACCAATCCATGGAAGTAATCATTTTTCCAGATCTCCGATGCAGAAGTCATCAATCATTTCAAATACTCGTGTAGCATGTTGTGGCCTGCAACATGAACATGACCGCGATTTGTATGGTTAATAGAAGAATCCAACTATTTAGATAATACAAAATCCAAGAATAAAACTTTGAAAAGTAAGGCAATGGAGGGAACTTGAGAACCACAAAGGGAGTAGGATCAAGTATATATAGTTAAGAGGATACTTTTCGTCACCTATATCCGTGAAAATAAAATTAAAGGACAAACAAAAAGAGCAAGTAAACCAAGACTTTTGACTTTTTTCATGCATTATGTTAAGACAAGCATAAAACATATGAGGTAGAAACATATTTGACAAAGACTTACCCATAGAAACCTTCAGTTGAATCATCGCCAGCATGATCTAGGATGGCATCACCCCCTGGATGTTCTTCAACATATGAGGTAACATCATACACCTAAAGACAGAAAAAGCAAAGAAGAGAAGATATTAGGAAATTAACATTAAAAGGAAAGGTTAATGTTAATGTTAATACAAGCGTAAGTAATACTTTATGTGGTCAAGTAGAGAAATCTAATAAAACCTTTTCTTTGATAATGATCCAGCAGTCAGTCCTCTTGTTATGCAGCGCAACTTCAGCTTTGCTATATGTTTTAAATGCCTTCAGTTCAAAAAGAAAGAAAAAGAAAAGAAAAAGAAAAGGAATCAGCAGAATAAGAGAAAAAAGGAAAATTGAAAGACATGAAGATATTATACAAGTGCTGGTGCACAAACAATATGCACAGAAAGAAGATTATTAGATCAGCCAGTTATGAAGCTTTGTGCAGTTGCCTAGCAAATACTACGATAGCAGGAAACAACAATGAATAATTGCTTCAAACACCGCCACCCAATTTGTTGTTCTCAAAGGACTTTCCGTCCTTTACCATTTTCTTAAACACATTCCACCCCAACCCACCTCCCCAACGCCACAAACAAGGGAATAAAACATGTATCTCAAGAAAAGGGGAAAAGAAAACAGTTCAAGCAGTGTATCACTTATCATCTATATAGAGATAAACCCAGTACATGAGGAGTAAACTACATTGTTAACTAAGTACTACAATTGATACATAAGGAACGCACAACTTTTGTGATATATCCATGCGTTTTATCCAGCTTTGCAAATAAACGGGAGTAATTTGAGATGTCACACCATTAACAACAGTCTCTATGTCTTTGTCATCTCACAATGTTAGAATCCCAAATTAGTTAATTGTATGGTCTGTAGTCTCAGTCTTCTTATATGATCTTGGACAATCCTTATCGTTTGACCTAGCTTTAGAAAATTGAGTAAGCCAATATCCATTTTCTAAACATGGTATCAGAGTTAGATTTATCCCTAATGTTGGGCCGTCCACGTTATCTTTCTCTACATTTTAGATGTCCCATCTTGGGCATGCCAGGGATATTAGAATCCAAGATAGTATATGAGTCGCAATCTCCTTTATATAATTTTGGGTAATCCTCATTGCTTAAGTTGGTTTTTGAAGTTGAGTTAGACCCAAGATCGATTTTTTTGACACACAAAAAGAATCACTACAACTATTATTTTACAACCATAGTGATTAAATTGAGCAATGCATCAATCATAAACTACCTAAAATTGAAGAACAAAAATAATTCATTATAGACCAAATCAGACAACCAAATATTTTTTTACATAACTATAAACTAAGGTACCTGGTCCTGAGCATTTGAGATAACCTTTTTAGGCTGATCTGTATAATAAAACAACAAATGACAATAATCAAACATCAAATTTTGAACATAAAGATTCAAAGTCAAACAGACTGAAAGAGAGGTTAAAATTGGATAAAAGCTAACCAGATTTACTGCGGAGTCGAGGTATCACAATGAGCACAGCTAGCAAAATACCCAACAATATAGTCGCTAATGTAACATCCATATTTTAAATTTAGCTCTATTGTTGAATAATGGAGCAAAGCAATTAAAAAAAAAGAGAAATTGGAGGTTGAATCTTGATTTCCCGGCGAAAGTTTTTGGAGTTTAGATTCGCCTGAGATTGTTGGACTGCTGTGACAGAGTTATTGGATCTAACGCCCGGGTTTGGCTTGACGGGTATTGTGTGATGGGTCGGGTTGATTTATTTGAATTAGCAAGAAATTGACTAGATGAACCTTTTTAAAACCACCATTTATATTTTGATCCAGTTAAAATATTTTAGAAAAATAGCCTTACACCAGAATTTTAAGTATACTTCTGACGATCGCCAAAATGATTTTGATGATCATCAGATTTTTCACCCACAAGGCCAAAAATATTTCTGATGACCTATAAAGATTTGTGGTAAAAATATACTTTAAAATTTTGTCGTTGACTTCTTTTATCGGGGTAAAAAAATTAATTTTGGCACAAAAGTATCCCATTTGTGCTAATCACCCCTTGAATTAGATTACTTACTATTTTTTAAAATTAATTCCTCTCCAAGAGTTTTTCACTTTGCTACCTTGATAACTCTGATGTACAATCTTAGAGTTGAAGGTGGAGAAATGTTTATCCTCTATTCCTCTCTTATCCTTTACCTACTATATTTATTAGGTGTTCGGTCAACATTTAGGTTGAAGTTTGAAAAAGAATTATAATCAAAGTTACAGTTATAAACATGTTTGTGAAAATTACCACAATATGTATTGTGGCACAATAAGGAGTTTTTCTTCTTCTTTTGAACGTATATAAATTATTAAATTCCTTTAAAATAAGGAAAGATTTTGATATATATATATTTTTAGTAAAAAATATAAATAATACCATTAACTCACAAAACTATAAACCTAAAGAGCACCCATCTTCCACATCCGGGAAGATTAGGCCTCCGACAAGTCAAGTAACATTTAATTACAATGTATTCTGTGTATTAAACTAAGACAACATTTGGCTTTCCTAGAATTCTGAAATCTTTCCATTCTATCTATAATCTCTCTTTTAATTTGCACCAACATTATCTCAGTATTTACAGTTGTTCCCCTAAAGATCTTCGAGTTCCTTGCTCTCCATACATGGTATGTCACTGCTCTCCAGATTGCTTCAATTAGTTACTTTTGAAACTGTTTCAATTGCATCCTCTTGATGAACTTCTCCTTTCCTTATAGTGATCCCTTTCCATTGCTGGATGCCTTCTCGCACATTTCTTATCCAGTCACAATCTACAAATAAGTGCAACGGAGTCTCCACAGCTTGTCTATCACAAAAACAACATGTATCATCCGCTACTTGGATATAAAGGTGCCTCATTCTCGCTTTAGTGAGAAGTCTACCATGTACAGCTAACAAAACCACAAACCTGTGTTTTGGTTGAGCTAGTGATGACCAGATTAGCTCAACAATCTTTAATCTTTCATGCTGCCACACTAGTGTATTGTAGGAGCTGGTGATCGAGTATTGTCCATTTGGTATCAAATTGTATATGCCCTGTATGTACCAGTCTTACATGGCTTCTTTTAGTGCATTTATCTTCTTCCAATACCAGCTGCAGTCTTGATGATGTTTATGCATCCAAATGTTAGTATTGGTCTTCATATAAATGCCATGCACCCACTTCACCCATAATGAATCCTTTTTCTCAGCTAATTGCAATAACAATTTACCAACAAAAGCCATATTCCAGCTTCGACAATTCTTGATTTTCAGTCCCCCATATTTCCTTGGCCTGCACACTTTCTCCCATGCAACTAGTGATATTTTCTTAGTCTCATATGTACCACCCCACAAATATTCCCTCCACTTCCTATCCACTTCTTTAAGAATACTTTGGGACAAGATAAAGGCATACCCCAGAAGCTATGGATGGAAAATAAGACTGCAAGTATGACTTGAAGTCTCCCAGCATAGGATAACTTTTTTGAACAAACAATGGTGATCCTATTAGTGATTTTATACACTAGTTGCTGACATTCTAACTTGTTCCATTTCTTGGAAGATAGAGGCAAACCAAGATATCTAATTGGAAAAGTATCCTGTGTAAATCCAGTTATGTCTAACAATTGATCCCTAGTTAGATCATCAATCCCAGCCATAAATGTGAGCACCTAATTTTTGACTATATTCGAATTTTAATCACCTTCTACTANATATAGGGTAAAAATTAATAATAATTTAAAAGGTCAATTATTACTATTAGTATTATTTTTATTTCTATCTTTATTTTTAAATAAAATGAATTAAAAAATCGAAAATAAATAAATATTAATTATTTTTTTTAAAAAAAAACAAAAGAAGGTGGAAATCGTTTAATAAAAAAAGTAAAAAAGGTGAAAAATTAAAAAACATAAAAGTAAAAGAATGTGGAAATTTAAAAAATAAAAAGTAAGAGAAAGTTGAAATTAAAAAATAAAAGTAAGGGTAGCTGAAAATTTTTTAAAAAAAGAAAAGTAAAATAAGTTGAAAATAAAAAAAGAAAAGTATAAAAGTGAGAATTTAAATATAATAAAAGTAAAAAAAGTAAGAAATTAAAAAATAAAAGTAAATGAAAGTGGGGAATTATTTTTTATAAAATATAAGAAAAATGGAAAGTGAAAATTCCTTTTAATTAGAAAAAAAAAATCTGAAAAATTCCGAATTTTTTTTTTCTATAAATAGGGGAGAAGGAGAAAAAAAATAGGGAGGAGGGAATTGAGAGAAATTTATTTTTCTTCTTCCAGGATAAGGGAATTTCTACTCGTGTCATTCTTTCGAAAAATCCAGCAATTCATCACTTAAACTCCAGCCCCGAACCAACTGGAAACCAAGCTAAAAAGTACCACAAAAACGAGTCGAAAACCCAGCGAAACAGTCCCCTTTTGTATAAAAAATAACAGCTCGAAAGTTGAGTCGTCGAGTTCAAGCTCCATTTGTCAATTTTGGTCGAGGCTCCATTTACATCCTTGTCCATTGTCCGAGCTTCAAAACAGTCTTGTAAAGGTCCATTTCTCTCATCATTGTTTTATTAAGATATTATGCTTGAATATATAATTTGATCTTATTTAGATTCATGAAGATTGAATTTTTTTTTTTTGTATTAATTGTTAGGTCTCATTAGCTTTGTTAAATTTTGCTACTTTCTTCATGATTAACATGAAGACTGATAAAAAATATGATTTTTGGACACGTAGTGAATGCTTGAACTTTGGGGATAAAATCTATGTCTACTAGTTGAAATTGGAAAATGAGGTTTGGACTTAAAAAAAAATAATGATTGGGCCCGGTGGTTGGGCTTTGCTTAATGAAACATGTACTATTGCAATTGACTAATTGATAGGGGAGTAGCTTGATGAACTAGTAACTGGGCATACTCATTAATTGGCTTTAAAGGGCCAATTATACCACGATCCAATTTAATTTATCTGGTCCAAAATAGTTTCTGTCATGCCCAATTTAGTAAGAGCAAAAGCTGCCCAATTTTCACAATTAATTTTCATAGCTCTTGACCTTACACAGATCTCAAACCCGTAAGGAAAAATAAATCATGAACAAGTGCTAGTTGCTTTAGGCGCGATTAATAAATCATCGTGACTATTGGTATGGTTCCCGTGGCATGGTCACGATACGTAAACCCCAACTCAAGTGCGCGTTTCACGCGACTTGACTTCAACTTTGAATAATAATAAAAAATAAACATGTTGTAAATCGCGGGTGCGTTTCATGTGATGCGATTCACAATATGTACAAAAACAAATGAGTTTGCGACATCGCGACTTGTTCAAATAAGTTCCATAAATAATTAAAAGCGGTTAAAATAAATAAAAATATATATATATAGGTTTAAAACATGTATTAAATCAGATAACTACGCCAATTATTAATAGTTGAGCGACCGTGCTAAAATCACGGAACTCGGGAGTGCCTCACACCTTCTCTCGGTTTAATAAAATTTCTTACCCGATCTTCTGTGTTCGCATACCATAAATAAGAGTCAAATTTTCTCAATTTGGGATTCTAAAATAAATCGGTGACTTGGGACACCATAAATTATTCCAAGTGGCGACTCTGAATAAATAAATAATCTCATTTCGAATAATGTCACTTAAAGTGGAAAAACTCCCTATCCCCTCGGAAAAAAGAGGTGTGACAATAAAGATTCTTGACTTATCCATGTTAGCAACCATCCCAGAAGCATCACTAAGATTAGCCAATTGCCTCCATAACTCTTTTAACAGAACTAGTGTTTGCTTTGTAGAAGATCATCTGCAAATATTAAATATGAGAGCTTTACTTGTTTGCACATATGATGGAAGACAAAGTCTGGAAGAGCACACATGCATTTTAGAACTCTTGACAAATATTCCATAACAAGGACAAACAGGAGGGGAGACATAGGATCCCCCTGCCTAAGTCCTCTTCTCCCTTCAAAATAACCACGACCTTCCCCATTTACTTTGATAGTAAATGTAGGAGAAGTCACACAAGTCATCATTGTATGTATAAATCTTTCAGGAAACCCATATCCCTTTAGGACTTCCTCCTTGAATTCCCAGCTTACCATGTCGTAGGCTTTCCTGAGGTCAACTTTCATAAGACATCTTGGTGTGGTCTTCCTACCATAATGTCTCAATACGTCACGTCAAATCAGATCATTGTGAACCATGGATCTCCCTTGTACAAAGGCAGACTGATTGCCAGCCACAATTACACTAATTGACTCTTTAAGCCTACTGCAAATCATCTTAGATATGCCCTTGTATAGGACAATGCAACAAGCTATAGACCTATATTGACTTGCATTTTCAGGTACTGCAATATTTGGGATCAATGCTATATTTGTAGAGTTTATCTGTTTCAAAAGTTTGCCATTATAAAAAATTTCAAAATGGCATCAATGATATCTTTACCTACAATATCCCATGTTGCATTAAAAAAGTAACTCCCATAGCCATCAGGCCCTGACTCTTGTTTTGATCAATGTGGAATATGACATGTTTAACCTCCCTTTCAGTGTATGACTCCAATTATTTAAGTTGTCGTGTGGTATCCAGCACTGGCCTATTTCTTATCATACTAGTAAATGCGTTAATTCTGTGATTGCTCTTACTTCCAAATAGTTCCTTGTAATATTTCACAAAGATGTTGGCTATGATATCAGGGTCAGTATGCTAGTTGCCTACTGCATCCTTCTATTGAGTGGTATCCTGCTTCAATCTTCTGTGTTTAATCATTGAGTAGAAGTACTTGGTGTTATAATCACTAAGTTTCACCCATATGGCCTTGCTTTTATGTTACAAGTGCATCTCAACCATAAAAGAAGATTGCCTGAATTTATTGTACTT